GGGGGGTAGACACTTTTTTCTACTAGCTCTAGAGAAAGCTTTCCCTTTTTCTAGTTAGTATACTGTATAAACCGGTGTCAGAGGCGTCAACATATAAACATCTTTAGAGTTATATATTCTGATTCACTAATTCCAATTATGCTTCCTCAGTCTTGTATTTCAAAAGAAAGGCTTAGTGAACGTTAGAACAGTGAGCTGAATCCTTTCCCATGTAAGATGAATAAAGGTACGTGTTACATCTATTTTCACACTGTTCCCTTTTAAGAATCCTACATCCTACTTTACAATGATTAAGTATAAATAACAATGCGTCTTATTTCGATGAGCTTTCTAGAAATGTACATGTACACTGCAGAAAATTAGTATGCCGCGCAATCCGCGTGATTTGGGAATTTTTCAGTTTTCTTGCTCTAAAATGCGGATGTTGCTTCTGAATTGTACTTTGCAGTTAAGATCATTTTCCTGTGTCCGAATTTAATGAATTTAAGCCGTGTCACAATTCCCCCAAAACAGGTTTCAATTGAGCGCTGGCTTAAATATTTAAAAAAAATCTAAAACAAATTTAAGTGGAACCACCAAAATTTGAGCCGCGGCTTAAATTCAAACTGCGGCTCAAATTCTTTAAATTCGACCTCTATTTCACGAGTTTCACGGATTTTACATGTTTTGAATAATACCACACATTACCGCACTTGGTCGATTTTCGCTATGAAATCCAACCCACTCAACTTATAATCTCAAACCCAGGCTAAGAACATTTATATATCGATAAAAAACAATATCAGATTTTTTTATTTTATTTTATTGTTTATTTTAATCTTGTAAATTAGCTTGTAGCATTAAAATAACAAAAATTAGTTATGTTAATGCAACTTAAAGCTTAAACTTTTTTCCCTAAACAAACTTTTTATCCAGGAAAATAATAATGTATTACAAAGTTATTGCTGTTGACATAATAAAGCTTTAGTGTGTATTTTATAAATATATATAAATAATTATTTTATGTGGAGTATCATTAATCTTGAACACGATCTCAATTTCCACTTTTAAATTTGACTTGCCTCCGAATCCAATTTTATAATCCTTATTCTTTATCAACCAATTTCGAGACCTTTGTTGTTTTAAACTTTTACTCTTCCATTTCACATTGTTAAAAGAGTCAAAGTTTACTCCATCAGAATACACAAATATATAGATTAGAAAATTAGAATCTGCGTTGAGTGCTCCGTTCCTGAAATTTATTTATTGAATGTAAAGAGCAATTTTAAAAGATTAATTTTAATTCGAGGCGCAGTAAATAAAGTAGTTATTATTAACATGAATTTGTAGAATTTCGAATGAATTGTAATATGAGATTGTTCCAAACCTTGACTTGATGTATTTACGCAGTATTTGTTGTGTTTTGCCCATGTTCTTGCATAATCGTTATGGGTACATTATAATAAATTTAATTCCAAAATTTGATTGTTTTTTTCTTCCAAAATTTAAATTTTGATCAACAGAATTCGAATTGAAAAAAATAAGATTAAGAATTTAGAAAGAAAATTAAACTCTCCAAAATTTGAAAACAGAAAGAAGAGAAGAAAATACAATTTTATATTTACAAAAATATTGAATCTAGAATAATGTCAATTTTGGATTATTATAGAAAAACTTGAAAACAGCCACATTTTAAATTTTTTTCTTCTCAATCACATTCAAGGATATTCAATCAAAATTGATTTATCGACGTGTATTTGCACTTTCCGTCCTTCGTTTGCTTTCCGTTTTTTGACCGATAAATCTCTTAAAGGGACTGTTAACGTAATTTCAAGTCACCCCCCCTCATGTAAAGACTTACATACCCGATTCACAACGGTACTATTAAATCTTTAACGGTTATGTTTTTGACTAAAGGAATTGAGTCTTTTCCACAAAATCAAAGTTTCTAATCCCTTTATCTTTGCAGCCTGGTGGCAAAACCTTTGATATTTCAAACTTAGATTATTTGACATAACATTATTCATAGTTTAAAATATCTAGGTCATTGGGTTGCAAAGATATAGGGATTAGAAAACAACAAAGACTCATTTTCTTCATAATTTCTTTTTTAAAGTGATTTATAATTTCTATTTTAAAGTGATTTATAATTTTTTTTTTGTAAATAATTTTTTTGTAAATACCGAAATTTTCATCAGAATTATTGAGATAAAGAGCTTACCCGAAGGGTAACTTTGCATTTACGTAACTTTTGAAATTACATCGACAGTCTCTTTCAGCATTACTTCGTTCTAAATCTAAAGTAGAGGTAAATGGGGTCAAATTAAATTACCTAACCACCAAATTGACGGAGAGATGTATTGTTTAATGACCTTTGAGTTAGCAACTGTATGCAGTGTATCTATAAAAATAAATAAAAACATTCTTGTTATCTTGTGTAAGTTAGAATTGTGGATTTTTACTCTAAATGTCTAGTCGACGATATTTGATAGTTTTAGAATGAGTTAAATAGATGATAGAACTTATCTCATCATATTGGTTAAATAGATGATAGAACTTATCTCATCATATTGGTTAAACTAAAGTGCCCGGCGCTGCCCGTTGAATTTCAAAAATCTTTATAGAAACGGGTTCTCAGGGGGTATGTCATCTATCCTATTATCCTTGAGGTCAAGTGTAATTTTTTTATCTCTTTTTATGTATTGCAGGTTTTCCTTCTATAGGTAACATTCACATATACTTACATATGAATCAGATGAATCCTTGTTATTAAATGTATTGATAGCTTTATATTATCTGCTTTCATCAACAAAATATATCCTATATACGCTTGAAATTAATAGACTATATAATAAAACAAGACATTCATATATATGTTGCGTATAGCCGGCCAAAAGGCTAGACCGATTGGTCTTACATTTTTTATGTACACTCATGGGTAGTTGGGGGGTGCCGGTGTTATAGGCTAAAAAAATCCACGGGCAACGCCGGGCTGTTCATCTAGTAGTGCGGAGAATATAAAAAAACTTGTGTAGCCTGCAGTAAGTAACCACTTTTTATGAATAATAAATACATAATTAATACATTTTTCAGGGGAAAACATATTTTTTATGGTTATTTATACTTTCAATAAGGTTCTATATACATAATATTTTGTATTTAAATGAATAAATGAGTTTATTATGACTAAACATCAATATACAATATATTATATACATTAATAATTACATTAATGTAAAGTATACATTTTATTTTTGTATTTGCACACTCGAAATCTGCAATATTGAAAGAAAACAATTTTAAAGATAAGAATTATCATCTTAAATAACTGTTTATTCTATCACAATTTAGAATTAAAATATATTAAATGTTTACCACACTAAACATTGATTTTTTTTCAACACATTGCAAAAATATCAATTTACGAAAATATATCCGGTTAAATCTTAAAAAGTAGTGAAAACGTATTTATGAAAACTGGTTATTTTATAATCTTTCAGTGTGTTTAAACAGGATTAAATCGACACCACCTTAAAGAGAAAAATCTGCAGTTCTTACTGAACCTTGAAACTTCCTAAGCGTTTGTACTTTGAAATTCTGCAATCTGCACATTACTACACCAATACTAATATTAATCCTCATGTTACTACACCAATACTAATATTAATCCTCATGTTACTACACCAATACTAATATTAATCCTCATTTTACTACACCAATAATAATATTAATCCTTATGTTACTACACCAATACTAATATTAATCCTCATGTTACAAACCAATATTAATATTAATCCTCATGTTACTACATCAATACTGATATTAATCCTTATGTTACTACACCAATAATAATATTAATCCTTATGTTACTACACCAATACTAATATTAATCCTTATGTTACAAACCAATCCTAATATTAATCCTCATGTTACTACACTAATACTAATATTAATCCTCATGTTACTACATCAATAATAATATTAATTCTCATGTTACTAACCAATAATAATATTAATCCTTATGTTACTACATCAATACTAATATCAATGCTCATGTTACTAACCAATAATAAAATTGATCCTCATGTTACTACACCAATACTAATATTAATCCTCATGTTACTACACCAATACTAATATTAATCCTCATGTTCCTACACCAATACTAATATTAATGCTCATGTTACTACATCAATACTAATATTAATGCTCATGTTACTAACCAATAATAATATTAATCCTCATGTTACTACACCAATACTAATATTAATCCTCATGTTACTACATCAATACTGATATTAATCCTCATGTTACTACACCAATACTGATATTAATCCTCATGTTACTACACCAATACTAATATTAATCCTCATGTTCCTAACCAATACTAATATTAATCCTCATGTTCCTAACCAATAATAATATTAATCCTCATGTTCCTAACCAATAATAATAGTAATCCTCATGTTCCTAACCAATATTAATATTAATCCTCATGTTTATACTAACCTATAGATTTGGAGGAATATATCATGTACAAATTTCAGTTACTGTAAAATGTGGAATTTTTGGATCGACCTGAAAATTACTTTTTTTACAAATAAAAAGATTGAGATCTAGAAATAATTATTTTATTGTAATCACTAGATGTAATTTAGTTTCTGGGGAAATATAAACACTGCCGTACATCTTCTAGAATATAATTCTTGCCGAACTTTTCTTAAATTTCAAGTATGTTGAAAATAATATGTATGTATGTACTTAATATCGGAGCTGATAGACCTAGTTTCCCCCGGAGTAAAACAAATAATCTGAGCATATGGTGATCAAGCAGTGAGCTTCAGATCCTAATGCAAGCATCATCCTCACTTTACTGCTGCAGTGTAAATATCGGCTTAGTACTTAAACAGCTAATATAATATTAAAATAGAAATTTAGGTAGCTTTGCACCTATCCTTCTGTTTTTTAATACAAGTTTTAGTATGAAAATAATTGAGTCTTTGCCACAAACTCTGATTTCTAATCCCTATATCTTTGCATATAAATATGTCGGAGACCTTAGATATTTCAAACTATGAATTCTGTTTGATGAAATAATCAAATATCAAAGGTTTACAACATCAGGCTGTAAAGATATGGGGATTAAAAAAATTGAGTTTGTGACAAAGACTCAATTCTTTTTCCCAGACAAGAGAACTGAGTCATTGTGTCACAAATCTGATCTTTAAATGCATTTATCTTTGCAACCCAATGTGTTAAACCTGAACAAATTCTGTTAGTTCAAATAATCTAATTTTGAAATATCAAAAAAGGTGTACACCATGAAATGTACGGGGATTAGACAATTTGAGTTGGTGGCAAGAACTCCGTTCCATATCTTATTGTTTTTTTTCTGTAGACCAAAGGTTTCATTAAACCTGCCAATATCAAATAAAAATAATAATACAAATAAGAAGTTAATCTAAATATTTAATGCAACACACACTCTGATCTATTTACTTCATTGTTCTTATTCCTGTAATTTAACATAATTATCTTTAACTTTTCATACTTTTATTTACGATGAAAATAGCTAATTATCGAAGAAAAAAAATATTAATCTCAAAAAGTGTTACAGGTTACAGGGTTACAGGGTTACAGGGTTACTCAAAATGAGACTTTATTTATTTTGTTTCTCAAATTTCTAGTTTCAATGCAATTATGCAATTAATCATTAATCATGAATTAATTGTAATTATTATCTTATTTCGTTTCTATTTTTATATCAGCATAAACCTGCAGATTTGTGGTATTTAATGTCATTATTTAAATCTCAACCTTTTTGGATTTCCCTGTATAAAAGAGAACTATTTAAATGTCTCATTTATTTATTTTTAAGTTCAAGAATTAACTAAGCAACGATTTGCTTTACCCTCTCATAAAATGACCCCATCCTGCATAATTTGATATTTGTCAATATTTTAGGTTTGAAATTGACACAGAGCGTACAGAGTTGAATTGACGCATTTCGTACAAGGATAAGAAAATGGTCGCAGAAGACGATATTCCAACCAACCCAGGGGACCACTGTATCCGACCAAGGTTTTTTTTATTAAATAAGTGACTTATTATGCAAAAGTATTTGAAACAATTCACAACGGTACCCTTGAAAGATTTCTCTATCAGAAATTATGATTGTTAAATTCTAAATGTAAATGTTAAATTAAAATAAATTGTAAGCTTGAAATAATATAATAATAGAAATAAAATGTAGCTAAGAAAAGTACCACTGTAACTAAATTATATCGTAGAAATGGGAATAAATTAGTTTGTTTATTTATTAAAAACTAGAAATCTATTTTTTTATTACATAGATCTAAGTCTGAAGCTGGAACTTTAAAAAGACGTGGTTTTCTTAATCAACTTATTCTTCAAAGAAAACATGTAAGTTTTATTTTTATTCTATTTAAATTTTGGAAAGTAGCAAATTCCTTCTTTTGTTAAACTTTTAATTATTCTAAATAATTTTTAATCCACAAGAAAATATCCTATAAAGAGAATAACAATTCATGTATTGAATTTTTTAAATACTTATTTTCAAATGATGAAAACTTGATCAAAATATGATGAAGAGAGTTTAGAAATTAAATTTGAAAACCTTATCATAGGTAAGTGCCAGCACAGGATCCGGGAGATTAACTAATCCTCTGGTTTCTCTTCATCCTAGTCATCATCCCCATCCTAATCCGCATAATCAAAAGGTTGGGATTCACAGCACTGCAACCAAGATGTGCACGCGCTCACACACAAATCGAGCAGTATTTTGCCAATTACTCTTTTTAAACTTATAGATTAAAACAAGCGCGATGCCTTTTTAAAAATTGCCTAGGGCTACAAAACAGCAAAAGTAAGTTAATGAGGGATAACCAAAGGTCAAGGCGTTGCGACACTTTAAAGTCGAGGCTGTCTAAAAATGAATGACTAACTTAAAGACTTGTCTATGATGTCTCAGTAAGAGATGAAAAATGGGAAGTAACTGTCAGATTTCTGTAGAGATCAATATAAAGATGCTGCAGATATAATTGCCCGAAACTTGATTACTAGAAACACAATTGCTAGAAAAAGTGTACTCACATTGACATACAGAGCCCGAACAACCGTTTGAAGATATTTCAGCAACTTTTTTGCTTTTAACCACTCGTAGAGTCTAGGCTAGATCTCAACCGCTGGTTAAACCGCTCCCGCTGAGTTTTTTTCTCCAAAGTATATATCATTCGAATTTGAATAGAGTATCAGTAAACGAACTTCTGAGTTTCCTTTTTGGGATTTTGATTTAAAAAAAAAGATATATATGGAGCATATAAAGAATCTGTATAATATTATAATTCGTTACAAAATATTGGTAGCTACAAAACTGCCTAACCCTATTCATGAAACTGGGTTTCCAAAACTAGGTTTCATGCAATAACCTGTTTTAAGTTTCGGGCTCGGTTAACGCCATACATATTTACACCTTTCCTCTCCAGGTGGTCTACCGTCTAATGCATTATACCAGTTTCATTCATTAAAATTTTACGTACAAAGTAGCCACCATTGATTTTCCATCTACTATTGTTCCAGCAACTCTATCTAAAATACAAATATTATCAACCAGGCGACTACCTCTTTTTTAGTATTATTATCTGATGGTATTTTATTAAAATATTGACATTAATCTTTAAATTTTTTTTAAATCTAGAATTTTGAAACCTCCAAAATATTAAAATACTAAAAATACAGGCATTATATGGTGATTCTGTATTCCTGGTTTAAGGGTCAGGGGTTTACTACTTTCGATCCCACTTTTACTTTCTTAGTTGTAAACACGTTTTTAATGTAGTTAGTTTCGCGTGATGGTCTCTGTTTTTTAAGATTGCGGGGTTCAAATATGTTTTATATCCCACTAATAAAAATTAAATATCTTTAAGTGAACTTCTGACACCCACTACCCAGTCTCTTTACCTAATCATTAACCATTATCATTGGAGTGGAAATAGTAATCATAACTTTAATTAGGTTTTGACATTGGTAACTTCATACCTTTGTAACTTTTACACTTTTTAGTTCGGACATTAAGAGAAAATATTAGGTTTACACGACGTCAAAAGTGTCAAATATAACATGGAAAATGAAATTTTCTCCCATTAGTTGACATGTTTTCAAAGATAAAATAAAAAAGTGTAAAAACAGAAAATAAAGAACACATAAAATTGCACTTATTTTACTGTAAGATACGCACTTCAATATAAAATCATCACTATTATTAATAATTTTCTTGCACACAAAAACTGAATTGGCACTTGTGACGTCAGAATACACCTGTACTGAGAATGTACAAATTTACGTTGCCATTGCACTAGAATCTATTTGAAGGTTTGTATAAAAGGACTGTATACTTATGGATTTACATAATTATGTATTTTTGAGGTCGAATTTACACATTCGAAAGTTGTGGGCTTGAACTAGCTCCGGGTTCAGAGATTTTTTTAGTTTTGACATTTATTAGATTGGAATTAAGCTTCTGAAAAATGGTCGAGATTTATATCTTCAACTAATCATTAATTAATATTTAATGTCTAGGAGATTTCTCCTGAATATTCGGACAGATCTAATCTACACCCTGAAAAGGTTAAACTTTATTTTCCGGTTATATAAAAGGGACTGTCCTTGTAATTATTTGTGATGTTTCATTTAATATTGGGCATCTTGTCAGATTCACAACGGTACTCTTTAACCCTTTATCCGGTCAATTATGTTAGATGGTAGAAGAAAAGCGTTTGTCTTTGACAATTACTTCTTATAGACAATTATCACAATTAAAAATTGTCGAAAAAGTTTTGAAAATGGGCTCAAATAATCATATTCATTCTTGACAAGAAAACTATTTCAACGGTACTATTGTGAATCGTACAATGCCAGATGGTGTATCTTTCGACCTACGCCAGATCCGCTAAACTACACTTCCAACCTACTAGCACGTGGTTTTACAGCTGTTGGTTAGATATGTGACCGCAGCGCTCGGCACCTAGCCTGTCCTAGCCGGGGCGCTTGGCCCCCTAGCCTGACCTAACCCTCAAATAAAAGAAAATAAAACAGCTGTACTAGGTACGATATTGCAGTAGAGATAAGTATATTGAGCTATTCCATCTATCTACATAAAGTACACAGCTTGAGATAAATTAAACTTGGTTATTTACCAAATATATTATAGGATGAGTATATTCTCTTCACTAACTGTAAATTCCGGTTCATTTTAAGTACATGGTGTCCTGCATGGAGCAGGCTCTTGCATGGGATGGGGCGGACTCGACCCCTAAAGTTTTAACCATTTTAACACAATGTACTAAACATAAAAAGCAATGTTATAACATTAAAAACTATTAGTTGGCATATATTAAATGCGCATTTAGTTCTTCAATGTATTTGAAAGGGGGTGAAGCCAAAAAAAGGTTATATCCTCTTGAATGTCGTCTTCCTTTCAAATAATCAAACAATTAATATTTACTCGAGACATAGATAATTTTAATGTTTTTTTTCAAAATAAATTAATAAATATCGGAAAATGTCATAACATTGCTCTTTATGTCTAACATCGTGTTGAAATGGTTAAAACTTTTGAGGGGAGTCCGCCCCATGCAAGAGTCCGCTCCATGCATGACTCCTATAGCACTTGATATATACTCCTCTAGCTGTAAATAGGAGGAGTGTAGGAGGATGTATAAGGAGTACCTACTCTTTATATACTCCTCAAGCTGTAAATAGGAGGAGTGTATGAGGATGTATAAGGAGTCCCTACTCATATATACTCTAGCTGTAAATAGGAGGAGTGTAGGAGGATATGTATAAGGAGTCCCTACTCTATATAAAACTGAAGACTGTTCTCTCTATTCTAGAGAAGAACGGAGAGAGGAGAGGAGGAACCAAGTTTATCCGAAACCGTGAATGTTTTTCGTCCTAGGTAGGATCTCACATCTACAGTTTTTTTTAGGGGGAGGAGGATTTAGGGGCATGTAGGGGGGATTAGGCTTCGCACCCAATTTCTAGTTATAGTCTGCCAGCTTTTTGTTGCTGATTTAATTGCAGGCATTTTTAAAATAACAACAAACAAAAATGTTTTTTTTTATTTTGACCAGTCACAAACATTCTTCAGGGTTATGGGAGTTATAAAATAGATAAAAAATTGACCGGATGAGTTTAGCCATTCATTGGATACAAATAACAAATTATCTTTTTATCTGTTTAAATTTTAAAAAGTTCAGTCCTTAAATTGAATGACAAAACCGAAATAAAAAATTTTAAAACGTTGAAAAATTTCATTTTCGCAAAAATATCGATTTTTTAAGATAATCATTAATGAATATAGGCCTAAATGAGAAATCCTAATACTTTTCAATTTGTTCTATTTTTAAGAGTTCAATCTTTTATGCTGTCAAACAATGTCAAAGATTAGCAAAAAAATCCGTGAGAATTCCATCAAACTTTAAAGGATTATAATAAAAACCAAAAAGGAATTCCAGATTTGCTGGTCATTCAATATCTTGTATTAGGATAATTTTTAAAAAAGTATAGGGAAGGGCAATAAAAAACATTAAAACGTTGTTGTCCATCAAGAAGATCGAAATATATTTGATCTTTTTAGAAAAACTAAAAAAATCGTGAACAATTCCTTTCTGTGAAAAATTTGTCACGATATTTTACATTTTTAATCTTAATTTCCTTCTCTTAATGTCCCTGATGTCACATGTCAAGCGTATTATTTTCTCATGATGATCTAATATTAGAGTTTTATGAAAGGAAACATAAAATATTTTTGAATATCGTGCTTGAAAGGGACTAAACACGAAATTTTTAGTAGATTTTCTTCTACAGATTGGCATGCCCGATTCACAACGGTGCCCGTTAATACTTTATCTGAGCAACAATAGGAACGATATCGTCGTTTTCCCATGTTAAAAAGTGTGTTGAATCAACTAAAATACATTATTTTCCTGGTTCCCAAGTACTACTTGTAGAAAAAAAATAGCTAAACTCGGAAATTAGCAAGGATAATTTACTCACATTTGCTATGACAAAGGGTACCGTTGTAAATCGCACATGTTCCTCTTTTTTCAAATACAGGTTTCATCGAAAATAAGTCTTTATAATACCATTACGTATTTACATGATTGGGAGTGATATCAGTAAGATCTAAGGGGACGCTGTGAATCGGTCTTGATCCTCTTTAAAATACAGGGTCCCGATCCAAATTTCGTCTACAATCCCAATAAGTATTTACAACATTTAAAGTGATATCAGTAATCCTATATAAAGCTGACTCCGGTTTGACTCCGATAAGATAATAGGTGTGTACAATAACCCCTGAGCGAGGGAGGGAAGACGACCCGCACCCGTTTGACATCCTTTCCGCAGATGGGAAACTAAATTTTCGCTATAAAAGTCGACCCACTCAACTTACAATCTCAAAACCAAATTCACCAATCAAAATTAGAGGCAAATCGGTCAAAGGGTGTCAGAGGTATGATCGGACAAACAGAGATTACAACTTTATATTTATAGATATTATTATCTTTTCATTGTATTCTCTGTTTAGATCTAAGTCGGATGCTCATACAATTATCCGAGCCTCGAAACCTCCATCCATTATCAATCAGTTCATCCAGCAGAGGAAGCAGGTTTTTATTTTTTATTTTCTATATTTGACAGGATTCAGTTTCAGATAACAAACTAGATCAATAACAAAATTATATCAAAATAGAATATTAGAATTGTATAGATTGTAGCACATACAGGGTGTCCCAATAAATAAGTGACAACTTTGAGATCACCTTTGTTAATAATTTCAAAAATCATAATAAAGCTGAAGTTTATGGTATAAAAAATGTAAATTATTATGTTTATTATTCTACAAATCGTTGCAAGATGTGTCAGGAATTTCTGCAAAATAAGGGCATCAACATACTAAATCAGAAACCATTTTCGAAGATGATCTCAAATTTCCAATGTTTCGGGACACCCTATCTAACTCCAGGCAGTTCTAACAAAAACACAAAACAAGATTGGAAAACGAAGAGGAGCTTCAAGTGTTTTTATTAAACTCAATTAAGAAAAAGAAAGAAATATGCCAAATATATATAAATATTAATATATTATCCATATTAAGAATATGAGAAGAATAAATTATTAATCTATATTATATGAAAATACATATATTTGGATGAATAGATATTTAGCAATATTAAAAATAAATTATAAGATTATAATAATAACTATCTTAATTTTTTAAGGGTGTTTTATTTTATTTTAAAATTTTTGTTGCAAAATTTTATTACTACCAAAAAGTAAAGGTTTAAGATTTAAGTTGAATAAATCAAAACCAAGATTATTTCAGATAGGAACTAAACAACAACCATCAAATTCTTTTTTATTTAAATCAAATTTCTCATACTTTTTGGATACTTCAAATTATGAATTTTGTTGGATTAAGTAGGCAAAGTTTGAAATTGCAAAAATTTACCTTATCAGGTTGCATGAATATAAGGATTTTGCAATCAGAAGTTTTTTCACACAAAAATTTAGTAAAAATTTAGCAAAAATTTAGCAAAAATTTAGCAAAAATTAGCAAAAATTTAGCAAAAATTTAGTAAAAATTTAGTAAAAATTTAGCAAAAATTTAGCAAAAATTTAGCAAAAATTTAGCCAAAATTTAGCAAAAATTTAGCAAAAATTTAGCTTACAGTTTGGAAGAAATATACCTTCAAGAGTCGTCTTTATAATATAGTTCTTTTAAGTTACCTTCACAACACATTGAACAACTCAAACTCAAATTTTCTAATCCCTAAACCATTGCAACTTGATGGTTTAAACATTTGATATTCAGAAGTTTTTTTTTGATCCAACATAACTAGTAATTAGAAATATCAAAGGTAATATCTTAGGTTGCAAAGATGTTTGGATTAGAAAATCAGAGTTTGCGGCAAAGACTCATTTCCTTTTACATTCACGTGACTACATAAATTCCTTTAAACCAGATGTTTATTTTTAGTCGAGTTCATCAGTGAGCGCTATGATGCATCCTTTAACCAATATTCAGGTTAGTTACTAAATACGTGCAGCATGGAGAAATGAACCTTTGAACCTATTTTTGTAGAATCATGTCAATTTAAAACTCAAGGTTTATCAGAAAATAAGATAGTTTTAAAATCCTGTTTTAAGCTCATCACAACTTTTGTTTCATTAAAATAAATAAAAAATTATCATAAAAACGTACGTAAATGCTTTTATTTCCACATAAAAATTTGGAAATTATTTAAAAATGTTTATTCTATCATTTCATTAAGAGTTGAAATACTTATTTGGTTTGGTTTCAAAAAGGAAAAAAAAAATCGTATTTTTGATTTTTAAGCCATTTAAAAAAGAAAAAACAAACAGGGTTTAGATCTTATATTCAGGATTTTGAGGAAAGAAGTTCGCAGATTAGAATGAAAAAATATGTTAAATATTGATTAGTAGGGATTGCTTAACTCTTTTAAATTTTATGAATTTAAATGTTCGCTTATATTTTGTAACTTAAATTATTAATAAAAAGAAAATGTATGAATTTTAAATATTCAACAAACATTCAGGCAAATTAGAATTTTTAGAAAAACTTTAAGAAATATTTGAAATATTTTTTATTTTAAAATATGTCTTTTTCTACCAAATTCATTAATTTTCTTTTGCGACTGTGCTGCATGCAAACATGAACATTGAACAAGACGCATCTTAAGAAAATTCATTGTCAATGGTTTATGGCATTTTTCTATTTTAGGAGAATTCTCCCTTATTATCTCAACCAGATGGAACCTCTGATCAAACGGAAATGGAACCTGGAACCAAACCGGAACCGGAACCTGGACCTAAATCGGAACCGGAATCTTTTAGGAAATATTCAGAACCAGTTTCTAAGGTAGAATAATAAGAATGTTTTTATAATCATAATAATGCTTATTTTAAGTTAAAAAAGATAAAACAAAATTAGATTGTATAAAGTTGTAATCTCTGTTTGTTTGTCTGTCTGTTTGTTTGTCCGATCACAACTCAAAAACCCCTGGACTAAAGTGTATCTCTTAACTGAAATCCCTAGATAAATTATAATTTATCTAGGCTTTTAGGGCAAAACTTAAGTTGCAGAATTTATTTCAGATTTGAAATGAGTTCATTGAAAGAAAACTTGACTAATTCCGGATTTTTGTGTCTGTCACTTTTAAAGTTTGTTCACTGGCTAGATGGAGTTCAGCCGGTTGTATCCTAGCTTGGCCGGATATTCCCAGCTCAAATCGTTCAATATAAGTTCACGAGATTTGTGGATAAAAAGAATTTAAATAGACTGTTATAACGTTTTTTTAAAGGTTTGACCTTTTAATAAGATCTCATCAAATTGTCAATTGTAAATAATCAAAATATCAATCCAATGTAAACTCTTTCATATTTGAACAACAAAGGAATTGAGTCTTTGCCACAAACTCAAATCTTCACATCCCTATATCTTTGTAATTTGATGGTGTAAACCTTTGATATTTCAAACTTACATTAACTAATAATTCAGGGATCATAGTTTGAAATATCTAAGGTCTACGACGTTGGATCGCAAAGATATAGAAAACCATACTTTGTGGCAGGAACTCAATTCCTTTAGAGTTTTCGATAGTTCTATCTGTCTTCTGTCATTTTCGGAAGGATAAAATTCGACATTAATAAAAATTCTGAAACTATTACAACATTTTTTTGTTTCAATCTATATATTCTTTTTTGATGAATATATTTGATTTACAATAAGTCGGATAAAAAGATTTCTGATAAATCCTCCATGTTACAGAGCAGAAGGGATTCAGAAGATTCATCTTCTCATCATAGTTCATCAAAATTTCGACCCAGGTTTAGATTTTCTACAATCTCAACTGCACATGTTTAAACAAATACGTTTGTCTTGAGATACAGGGGGACCCAGAAAGAGTAAGACTTTAGAAAAACGTACGTATTCGTAATAATAAAAGTAATTTTCTTACATTCGTGGTTCTCTGAAAACGTAAACATGTTTAAATCTTTGTCATACAGTGATAACCGGAAAAGTTTGGAATATGATGACGACTTTGAGACTTAAGTTATGATCTTAAATAGCCTAGTGAACATGAAACACAGCTAAGATTTTTCTGTGTAGCAACAGATGTCGTCTTCCGATTTCACGGTTTTCTAGTTTTCATCATGTATCGTGTACAACGACCAAATTAAATCTTTAGAGAAGAAAGTCTTAGAAGTTTTAAGTCGTCTCTGAAGTCTCATCCTTTGTGGATAACCCTGTATACTTAGTTGGAAACTTTAAATTTTTAATAGAGACGACCTTCTGAAGTCATCTTGAAAGTCGTATCAATTCACACATCATTTTTACCTTTTTAAACCCTATGCTTATCATGAAGTTCTATGCTGCGCACAATTCTATATTATATAACGGAATCATACACTAATTAATTTAACTTTTTAAAGGTATTTCCAAATTTAGATTTGAAATTTTGTTATTTTCAATTTTCTATTTTCTATGGATTTTAAAATATTTAAATAATTCAATATTTTCCAAATTTGAGATTTCTTCAGAAAATATTCTTCAAGCATAAAATATTCTTCAAGCATAAAATATTCTTCAAGCATAAAATATTCTTCAAGCATAAAATATTCTTCAAGCATAAAATATTCTTCAAGCATAAAATATTCTTCAAGCATAAAATATTCTTCAAGCATAAAATATTCTTCAAGCATAAAATATTCTTCAAGCATAAAATATTCTTCAAGCATAAAATATTCTTCAAGCATAAAATATTCTTCAAGCATAAAATATTCTTCAAGCATAAAATATTCTTCAAGCATAAAATATTCTTCAAGCATAAAATATTCTTCAAGCATAAAATATTCTTCAAGCATAAAATATTCTTCAAGCANCCCCCAGATTCAAATAGCATGATAAAGTCTAAGCCATGGCATGCATTGAATAATTTGTGATATTCCTAATTCTATATTTTTATTGACCAGGACGGATCTTCACTTCTCTTTAATAAATATCCTTACATATAAAACCTAACTGTATTCAAACATGAGCTTGGAACTTTTGAATTGACAGGACTAATTTAAATTTAAATATCTCCGCCCATGAAAGAAGAAGCAGCTTCATGGTTAGGGTTTAATTATTCCGTCCATGAAAGATTAAGCAGCTCTGGTTTAGATTAAATAATTCTAGTCCATGTAAGATTAAGCTGCTCTGGTTTAGATTAAATTATTCCCGTCCATGAAAGATTAAGCAGCTCTGGTTTAGATTAAATAATTCTAGTCCATGAAAGATTAAGCAGCTCTGGTTCAGAATAAATAATTCTAGTCCATGAAAGATTAAGCAGCTCTGGTTTTGAATAAATAATTCTCGTCCATAAAAGATTAAGCAGCTTTGGTTCGTATTCAAAATTTATCGTCAATGAAAGATTAAGCAGCTCTGGTTTAGAATAAATATTTTTCGTCCATGAAAGATTAAGCAGCTCTGGTTTAGAATAAATAATTCTAGTCCATGAAAGATTAAGCAGCTTTGGTTCAGATTAAATAATTGTCGTCCATGAAAGATTTTATGAAGCTCTGGGATTAAATTATTCCTGTCCATGAAAGATTAAGCTGCTCTGGTTTAGAATAAATAATTTTCTACATGAAAGATTAAGCTGCGTTGGTTTAGATTAGATTATTCTCTTCCATGAAAGATTATGCAGCTCTGGTTTAGATTAAATTATTCTTATCCATGAAAGATTAAGCTGCTCTGGTTTAGATTAAATTATTCTCTTCCATGAAAGATTAAGCAGCTCTGGTTAAAAACAAGC